CACTGAGCGCCTCCTCACAGTTCTTTCTGAAGCCCTGGCTCAGCAGAGCTGCCCTCCTCCCTCTTCCTCCTCCTCGTTCCAGCAGCCAGCTTGGCCACTCACTCCCCCCAGAGGACTCCCATCCTGCAGATCCCCTCTCGCCAGCTAAGAGGCTTCGTGCTTGGGTCATCCCAGACCTCCTCAGCCTGTCGATGCCTGGGCTCCCATGGACCAACGCCCACTGAGGTCCTCCTCAAAGCCATCTGTCCTTCCAGGTTAATAACAGTTTTGCCAGTTTCTTGATTATTCAACCATGAAATCATGAAGAAAGACTATCAATAACAGGAGCGTTGCAACTCTTCCTTCAGGTTCTCAACACACCCAGGAACAGCAGAGATGTACTGTAGGCCAACTTTAGCAACAATATCCTGTGAAAAGCATTTAAAAGGAATTAACTTTTTATTCTTTTTTTAATCTGAACACAATATTTCTATTGCAGGAAAAATGTGGGTTTGTATGGAACTATACCTCAAAAGTAGCATTTGACTGTTGTTCCTGTATCCTGATGGCTGATGAGAGCTTTACCCCAGTCAGGAACAAAGTCCTGAGGCTGAACAGCTGAAAGGATGTCTTGAAACAGGGATCTGAAAAATGATTTAATAATGATTTAGTAATTTAAACAATGTCTGCCTTTATTTAGGAAAAATGTGTGGTAATATCAGAGCATTCTGATTGTTTGTAATTCAGTGTAGTTTTCTAAAGTCATATCCTGTAGAAAAATATATGTCTATATATTGAATATACAGTAGGATGTATTTGTAGTTAGCTTTATGACCATGGTGGAGTTCATACTGTGGAGATACTCCTACCTAAACACAGAGCTCTTTGTTTCTATAGTTATAAAGTGCTACAACACTCCAGTTGTAAACATCAGTCATTGTTCTATTTGAATGTGACAGTATAAAGCACATAATAATGGAGCAAATATCTTATAGTTACAGGTACAGATGGTTTTAAAAAGTCACAACACTTCTAAATTAATTTTATAAGACCTGCATGGATGTACTGTATATATTAATCTCTATAAATACATGGGTAAATAAAGGTTTGTAAATCCATTTCCTTCAAACCCAATTAAATGCACTTAACTTAGGCAGATGAATTTTGCTCTTACAAAGTTTGTACAATATACCAGAATTTGATACCCCTTAGGGTTCCCAGTAGTTTGTTTCACCTTGACGACACCTTGCTTTGCTGTCTTGTGTTATATAATAATCTGATACAAGCAGAGTACAGAAAGAAACAATTTTGCAAAGTGTTTGAAACACTGCATTTGCTCTTTTAATGGTTCACGAAATGTGTGTATATATATATATGAATATAATTAATAATAACTGGATATAATAATCACAAGATTATTCTCTATAAAAAAGTATTGGCATAAAACCTAGCATTACAAAAAGGCTAGTATGCAAAACTAAAGAGCAAAGAGAGCTCATTTTGATCTTTCCTTATTGATCTCTGAAAAAAACACCACTGTGTTTGAGTGTAATGCTAGAGACATGTCCTTTCCTTTCTGTTTGTCCCTGAGTTTGTCTAAGCTGTGTTACCAACCTGAGCTCTGCTGTGGAATGGTTTTAGTACACACTTATATCTGTAACACTCTACATCACTATATTTTGTTATAGCTGTGTCATTATTCTTTTAATTGCCTCCCTCACAGTTCAGCTTGATGTCAGACACTCTGTTCCCCAGATCTCAGTTGGGTTTATTTTGATGTATTTAAGTTAGATGCTGTTTCTGGTGAGAGATCTCACACAGACTCACAGGCACATCTTTATGTTAATGCAATTCGTCATATCATTAAATTATTCTCCAAAGTGTCTTATACAAGATAATCATAGTTTGTACAACGGAGTGTTGCAATTTCACACCAATTTCACACAATTGTCAAAATAAGTGTAAATGATGCACATAGCACTATAAGTAGGGCGGTAAAATGAGGCGAGTGTAGTGTCATGTCATGGTCTACACAGTTTTAAACTCCAGAAGTCAGAGTCAAAATACAAAGAGGAGGGATGACAGTGCTAGACAGTAAAAATGCAAATCCTGAAAGTGAATGTGTCCATCTTATCACAGGCACGTTACATAGAAGATTGTAGTAACAGACAGGGATGCATGACCGTGTGTTTTTAAAAAATAGGCAATTTGCTCTTTGCCTTCAATGAATGTGTAAGCAATTTGCTGCTCTAAATGATATCAGTCTTGTACAGTAAGAAGGGATCACCTTGCTGTGTTCTCCCTTTAGGTACAGCAGGCAAAAAAGCCGAAAGAATATTATTTTTATAAATAAACTGAACGTCCTTGCATTTTTGTGACTTTCAGTTTGGTTCTACAGAGTTTAGCAAAATAAACTGCGTTTGTTTTTATTTTTAAACCTGTGAACCTTTTGCACTCTTTGGGTGTGAATGGCTTTCTTTAAGCTTAACGTGTATCTCAAGATGATTATTAAACAAGAACGTTTTGTGAAGGAGTTTTTTTGTTGTTTGTTTTGTGCGAAAAGGCTGGGGTTACAATAAGCCATCAACTTCAGAGTTTTGAACTTCAGGGTGAAACAGCAGATTATGTT